AGGCTGGCACTGCAGATGTGTCTTAGTGCACATGAAATGGGCTTTGCCCATCTAAGTCCTCTTTGTTGACCATGCAGACTGGGCTGTAAAGTTGAGTGCCTTGTTCTTTCTCTGCACACCTGAGCTGCCAGTGCTTGCTTTTTCTCTTGACAGTGATTCAAGCGGTCTAATTTTGTTTCCTCCCACTTTGCTTTGTGGTAAGTGACCATATGAAAAATCCTGCTTAATATGAGTGCGCTGTCCCCCCCCTTCCTCTCCTGGATTAGAGGATGAACTTGGAGAACAGCAACTTTGGACAGTTCTCTCAAATTCTGCTCTCATCTGGTTTGGTAGAGTAGCACTTTCCTGTTGCAGAATGCAGGGAGGGGAAAAAAGGATGGGAAGAGCTTAAATGAAAAGCCTTTTAAAAATCATCTTTCAGTTTTTGGAGGAGAAGTGATTAAATATGCTTAGCTACTGGCAAATCCAGCTCCCATCTTGGGGACAATAGTCAGCAGCAATTCCCCGGTAGCCGAGAGTTATCCAGAGAATCTCTCGGCAGAGTGTGTGCTGTTACACAGATGACTGCATACTTTGGAGTCCTCCAAACAGTGGACAGACAAGAGCCCCTAAGGACCTGACTTTAGAAAGAGATGCTGGAGAAGAGTCTGACTTTGCTTTCCTCTGCTTACTACAGAAAGCAGCACGTCTCCTGTATCTCGCTAACTCTGGGATAATGCTGAACAGCTGCAAGCTTTTGCATGTGAGTCTGTGCTGGCAGAAGTTGTAATAACTTCAGTTCTTGTGCTGAATAGCTCCTAGGTGGCCTCCACAGAACATTTGCCTAACAAATGGGCTTTAGATCACACGATAACATGCAGCAGGCCTGCAGGCGCATCTAGATAACTGCTGCCCCTCCTTGAAAAGTACCATACTAGACTCCTTCAGCCACACTTTGATTCTGATCTGCCTTTACTTGGGCTGCTCCAGCACTGAGAGTGGAAGCAGCTACAAATCTCTTGCAAAATAATCCTGACGTCCTGTCTTTGCACTCCAGATGGACAAAACCGCAGTTTTTATTAGGCAGCCTGTATGGGCTCATGAACCCATCTGTAATTCTCCTCCCCCTCCTGCTTTTCTTTCTTGCTTTTTCTCCCCCCATCCTGCCTCCTCATAAAAGGGAAAAAACTGACCTAAAGTCTGAGACTACACCTAATGATGGTGTAGCCCCTGCATCTGACTTGCTGAGGTATGGAAGGAAGAGATGGCTTTCTGGGGAAGCGAGGTAGCTGAAGGGGTCCAAATGGCCGTGGTGTAAATCTGTTCACACTGCTTCCTGTACTCAGCTTGGCTCTGCGAGGCTGTGCTGAGCTGAATGTGGGGCCTCAGGACAGGAGCATCTCTTGTTCCTCCTGCTCTCCCCGCAAGCCCAAGTGTGTTCCCAGGTGAACAAGAAAGTGTTCAGTTCCTCGCTGCTCGAGAGTCCTCTACTGGGCTCTGGAAAGCTTCCAGGGCTTAATGTGCTGTTTCCCTTCCTCTGAAGTAGGAGATAGTGTTACTAACAGTGCTGTGTCTGTTCCCTTGTCAGACAGAGCTCTCGCTGAAGTGCTTCTGCACACTGTCTTTGTCAGGTTTTGGTTTTGTTTTTTCTTTGCTACATACCTTAGCCATGTGGTCTGCTATCGGGAAGAGCAGCTGAGCAATCTCTGGAGCAGTGCTCTAGCAAGATAGACGTGTGATATCAGGCAAAAGGGGCATTCTTGAAGTCTTTCTAATTTTAGGCTATTGCAGTGTTGGGGTTTTTTTTCTGGAAGTGTTTTGCACTTCCTACAGCATTAAGGTCTGGCTCTTCTTCAGTCAGAGAGGACTGTGGATTTGGGGCAGTCTGCAGCAGCTTGGTGTAAGGTATTACACAATCAGACAGTAAGTTGGCTGTACACTGTGATACTGAATAGCCTGTCTCAGAGGGACATGGGCAAATATGACACATCTTTGACTTTGTCCTGAGTACAAGCAGGATGATGCGAAAGGATACCCAAGTGTCAGGATGCCTGACAAAGCTGCCTACAGGCTATGTTAGTTTGGCTTGATTGCTTCCAACTGGCCTGGTATGGCCAGGTCCTTTCCAAGAGTTGTAACTGAAGTGAATAATGCTTTCATAAAGAAGGCAAAGTAAATCTTGCTAAATGACAAAGACAACACAACATTCCTGGTTGAAATCTAGCAATAAATATCCTGTGTACTAATGAATCTGTATCTGGAGCCTTGAGTGCCAGAGGATCTTGTTTAAATTGGAGTAGGCTGACTCTTTGTTAATCGTAATTAAAATCAGCAAGCAGGAAACAACAGATGCTAATCAGAGTTTAAATTTTTCTTGGAATCCCTAAGAGTTTATTCTCAGGGGTAACTATTCAGGTGCGGAGCACTTCTAGAGCTACTATGCTAAACACAGTATTAGGGGGTTGTGCTGGGGTTTGTTGTTGTTGTTTTTGTCTTGTTTGTTTTTTAAATTGGCTATCACACTAGACTAATTAAAAATGACTTAGCCTGGGATAAGTTGGCTGTACCTACTGTCTTTAAACAAAACTGCGTAAACTGACATTAAAACACAAGCTGCACTTCAAACAGCAGTACCAACGAGCTCACTTATGTACACATCGCCATTATGGGCTGCAGGGCTCTGTTAGACCGTGCTCTGAGATCTTGTCTTCCCAGGGTTTTAACCTATTTGTCCTGGGTGCAGTGCCTCTGCACTAGCACGTTGGCATAAAAAAAGTGAGCACAGGTCTGCTGCAAAAAACCCTTGCAGACAACTTTGCTGGTGTAGGTTTGTGTTTTGTTGTTTGGGGGTTTTGTTTGTTTGTTTTGGTGGTGGTGGGGGTTGTTTTGTTTTTAATGGGAGGAGAACAAGGCATTTGACAGATGACCACAGTGAGTTTCAGGAAAGCTTATCCCTTCAGTGGGGAGTCAATAACTAGTATATGCATGCATTCCAGTAATATTTTCAGAGTTCTCTGGACACAGAAGGCTTTTGATCTCTTTGATCAAAACTACTTGGGGTGCGGGAAGAGGAGAAGCAGCATACATGGCTGGTGGATGGAAATGGCTGTATCTGATTGTGCTGCCATGAACTTGTCTCAGTCCTCCTCTCCGCAAGTTCCTTCTAGTCACAGTAGGGAAAAGAATAGGCTTTTCTGCAACTTTTAGGTTTCCTAACTGGATTTTTCAGCTTATATTTATATCAGGTGGAGTAACATTCTTGAAGACCAAAGCTGCCTAAGTTAGCTTTATGCCTGGAAGCTGCTTCTGAGAAAATTAAACCACTGAAGTGGGAGTCACTTGTTAACTAAGTAATTAACTAAATGGAAGAACCATTGAATTTTAAACCGGATTTGCATGCAGCAATTGTAATTTCATGCTGTTTATGTTCTGGAGAATGCTTAATGCTACAGTGTTTTGAGTTCTTAATTGAACATACTGCTTACTCACTTCAGAAGCCTCTCAGCTGCTGTCACTACACAAAACATCTCTGGCCTTTTAGCAAAAGTTAGTAGCTTGTTCCTGTCAGAGAGTAAAGCAATCTGACTATAAATAAATGAACAAACCTCGAGAAGCCAGAGCACTTCTGGAGTTTATTATCAAGTAAGTGATACAGCCAAACTAAAGTCCGGTGGACAGTCCAAAGCCATATAATTATTGCAGGCCTTGACATGGCAGAACTATTTCATGCCTGACTATCAATAAACAAGATAGTGTGTTCTGGGCCTTTAATCTGTTGAAAACTGTCCCATTGAGCCCCATCCAAGGGAAGGAACATCTTCTGGTTTTGTGCTTCTGACTTGTTCCCCTTCTTTCCCCCTCCCCTTAATAGCCTTAACTGCAGTTGTAGATTGTCCTCAGTGGGAGAACAAATTTTCTAAACAAGCCTGGAGAGGATCCTGCAGAGTATGAACTGAGATAAAAGATGTAATGCATTATAGCTTGACAGCGGACATGGAGTCCCTAAGTGTCTCCAAGTGGCAAAGAAGTACTCTTTCAAACTCAGCCCTCCTGACCCCTATTCCCAAAGGGCTCCTAAAGAAATGGATTTGCTTGAGCTGGAATGTTGCTCAGTCGCCTAAACATGGCTGGGAGTACGTAATCCATCTGTTACATTTGGCCACACTTCCCACTTGGCTACATGGCACAGAAACCTAAGTATTCCAGCTTGGCCTATAAATCCAATTTGGACACACTTTGTCCAGGAGCAACACCGGTATAGTACTAATTTTCTCCAAGTCATTCTTCTGCTGAGAGGTAGTAGACAGATGACTGAATTATAGCTACCTAGCAGAGAGAAAATTGTTCTCATGGACAGTTGCTGTGTATGTAACCAATTTCATGTGTGCTATACCTTCAGTTACAAGAACTGATGCTAATGAGAGTGCTGGGAAACAGGATTTCCATGGGAAAATTACTAGGAAACTTTTCCTGCAAACAGTAATTCCAAATGATTTTTCTTAAGCATTCCTGTCGCCTTGAACCGATGTCTAGCACTAGCTGAGCTTCAGGAGAATTACGCTGTTCTTACAGAAGTGGGGAATTACTGGCTTGGAATGCAGTCTGAGCACCAGGTCTGCTGTGGAACTGGCAACGGTAGCCGCTTGATTGAAGACCTTTGGTTACACTGCAAACACACCCTCGAGTTGCACACACTGAGAACTAACACTGTAATCTAGCGTGCTGGTATCTCAACTAAGCAGGTGAAGAGTCCAGTTTCTTGGAGCAGTTGATCTTGCGCTCAGGCCAGGTGCTCAGCAGGTTGGAAAACAAAGTAGTATCACTGTCTTCAGTCCAATTCTGAAAATAAATGGCAGTTACAATTCTGGAAGTGCAGATCTCAAACTGTTTTACGTAATAGACACACACACACACATATACATACATATA